CCCCCAAAAAAAAGAGACATTCATATTCATAGTTTTGGGTTTTGTTTTTTGGAGGAAGATAATTTGAAATATCGTATATGCTTACTTCCAGATGTTTTCTGTTTCATATGCGACTGAAGTGGACTCAGACTTGATTTTGGGCTCTGTGATAAAAATATCACTGTTCTTCTAAGGGCCTTAAGTGGAGAGGGGATGAGACTCAGGACACACTGTACCACGAGGGGTTGAGGTTGTTAACATGATCTTGCTCTGTTTGCTACAGGAATACAAAGTCTCCAGCTGTGAACAGAGACTCATCAGTGAAATTGAATACAGGCTGGAAAGGTCTCCTGTGGACGAATCAGGCGATGAAGTTCACTATGGGGACGTGCCTGTGGAAAATGGAGCGGCACCATTCTTTGAGATGAAGCTGAAACACTACAAGATCTTCGAGGGAATGCCTGTAACTTTCACATGCAGAGTGACTGGGAGCCCGAAGCCAAAAGTGAGCTAAAAATATGCCTTTTTAAGAGTCTTATTTTCTGAGGGGCGGGGAAGAGTTTAGCTTCCAAAATACAGCCCATATGGTAGGAAAGAGCTACAGACCACCTTTCTCAATATCCATGACGTAAAATATCTGAAGAACTGTAAGTTCAGGGCCAGCTTCAGGAGGCCTTGGAAATCAATAAGGGTGGAACGGGGTGTAGTTTGGATTTAAAGAATAGACTAGGAATAGGAATAGGAATAGGAATAGACAATTGAATGGACAAGGAGCTTTTCATACACCTACATCATTTACTTATGTGATGTCATCATTGCCACTCCCAAATTGCAAATGACTAAACTGAGCTCAGTGAGGCTAATTAACTTTCCCAAGGTAGAGAGCAGGTGAGTGGCCAGGCTTGAACAGGAACCCCGTGCCCGGTACAATACAGAAAAGGATGCTTTCCACTAATTACAAAACTTCAGATCTTGAATCTACAAAACTTCCTACATTTACAAAGGGGATGGGGATGGGAATACTGTTGAGAATGCAAAAATGAAAGGAACATCTGGTACTCAGGAGGGCTAGGCTAACCTAGCTGGGATCTCTCCTTTACAGGTATGTAGAAATGCGGGTAAAGAGTTGTCCTGTCTCTAATGGGAGACTAGAATAACTGCTCAGTAGCCCAGCAAAGCAATAACAAGATTACACTTTTCCCTAGAGCTTGAGAGAAAAGAATTTTTTTTTAAAAAATACACCCATGATAAACTAAAACTTCAGTTTACACTGTCACGTGATAAAGAGCCAAAAGCCGAGAATTTAATAGGAAACTGAGTCCAAGATGATTAAAATCTTTAGGTTTCTGGTAGAAGCAAGCAAAAATTATTTTGCCCCATAGACACTTTCCCAATTTGGGGCATATCAGACTTCTATAGAATAGGAGGGAGGAAAAATGAGTTCCCAGTAAACACTTACAAACCCATATGAGGAAATAAACAAGAAACAGGAAAATAAAAGTCAAGTGCCCAATATGGAACAGTCTCATAAAATAACTGTTCAAAATGATTGAGGCAATTTTTAAGGAAATAGAAAGTTTAAGAAAGGACAGTGCCAAAGACAAGGCAAATTTGTAAAATAAGCACATAGAAATAAAAAATACTCACCGAAATGAAAAGCTTAACAGTGGTAGAAAAGAGCTGAAATGAGAATCGGAATGGAAGGAAGGAAAGTTGTAGGACCGTACCTGAACCTTCGGTGTGTTAATGCTCTCTATATGTTGTTCTGTTTTCTCAATAAGGTAAGTTTTACTGCCATATTCTTTCCTTAAAACCAAATTCCAACCCTATAGTCAGAAAAAGATGGGGGAGGGGGGAATGCCTTCAAGTTCCAAACCCATATCCACTCCCTAATAAAATGAGACTTAAGCAAACTGTTATTAGAGAAAACATCTTTATTATGTCCTTGGCATAATTTTGATAATTGCTGTGTATTCACAAACATGATACCAAATGCATGTATTAAAAATAAACTTGCCGCTTATGAATGAAACCCAGTAAGAAACATATTCACAAAAAGATCCCACGTTATTTTAAACTTTATTCAGTGCTTAAGATTACTCATGTTGTTCTAAGATTGTTGATTCCTTCTCTTAAACGATACGATGTTCAACTTGAAGATAGGCTGTTCATAACGTAACTGTCTCTCTAGTCCAGCCTGAAGTGTCCCACAGCTTTGGGAGCCCCTCCTTCCTCCCCCCTCTCCTTTCCGCATTGCCCTTCTTTTTCTTGCCTCCCTGGCTCACTGAAGAACTGTTTTTCCTGCATGACATATAAATTATATTACGATTATTAAAGTATGAAACATTCATTGTTTTAAAAATACATCCTTTTTTTGGCTTATGTTTAAAAAAATTTATTATACCCTTGACATGCTTGTTCTGAGACATGGGAGGACTGAAATGAATTTCTCATTCACTCTGTTTTCATTTCTCACTCCTTCCCCTCCCCTCTCCCATTAGCAGTCTTGGTAAAATTTTATAACTGTTTCTTATCATTTGAAAGTTGTATTCCAAGTATAATGGAGGTGAAAAACATGATTAAGGGAAAGAAATGATTCTGAAGAACTGGCACAGTAGCAGAATGCAAAAGTAATTGTATTACTAATCACAGCTTCCTTGTTCCATCAATTATGAAACCACTAAGAGTATAATTATGAAGTATCATGCTTTATATAATTTAATTTTTTAGGACTAAAAGTTATTAGTCTAGTTGATTAATTTTTAGGTTCTGGAGACTAAAAATATAGTTTCTGTAAATTTGGAGCTAATTGAAAAAGAGGCTGGAAAAGTTAACAGCAGTCCGACCCTGGTTATTATGCACTTACTTATTAGTGCTGTTTCAGGCCTTTTCCTACCTTAGAAATGGACATTTCAAAACGATTTTTCAGATTCGAAGGCTTTCACAGGGAGTTGAATTTGAATTGAGACCATAGTGTGGTCTCAATTTGCATATTGATTCATATTAAGGAAAAAGTTCATTTTAAAAACTGAAGGCTCTAAAGGAGTCGGAATCTGTTAGGAATCTGTTAGGAATGCTTTTGGTTGCAAGGAACAAAACTGACAACAAAGAACTTACTGTGGGTTAAAAGCAGAGATTTATTTCCTCCCCTACCACTAAGTCTGGAGGTGGACTGGTGTAAGCATTAATTCAGCATGTCAGTCATATCAGGGTTGCTGGCAGTGTCACTCATGACGGGGGCCCCATCTTTCAACTGTGTAGTTCAGCAACTAAATAAAAAATCATAAGAGGGGTCCATTGACCAGTGGTTTTGTTTAAAGGTAAGGGAAGGAAGGGGGATCTACAGAAGATCCCCCTTCTGTAGGTCACCCTTCCTGACAATTTAAAAACGTCTTTATGTAGTTAAGATTAATTTTTACTCTATTTTTCACATTTAATTTTCTACCAACCTAAGTTAAAGTATTATTTGAAAATTATTACATTTAAATACTATTGTGTTTTCTGTAACATAATGGGAGGAGCTGGCATACTTTCAACCATTGATCGTACGCTCCTGATCCAGGATTAAAGCAGCAGAGTTCTACCCACCACCAACCCTAACTGTTGCCTCCCTCCTCACCACCCTGTTTTATTTGTGTAACACAGTTCAGTGGAATGATTAGAGTTTTGGGTCTGTTTTCTCTAAAATAACCTTTCTACCTTCACTTTATAAGTAATACATTTTAATAGAGTACATCTGAAATAAGCAAAAAGAAAAATAATCAGTTAACATTCAATATAAAGTCCTCATATAATGTGACTGTAAATACCTACTTACATACATATTTTTAAAAGTAAAAGGAGGATATGTAATGTTTAAAAACTAAAATAGAATTAAATTTGCTTGTTACCTACTTTTTTTACTCAAAACTCAATTGCCTATTCAGATGTTCTGGTTAACATCTGAACGTGAAAACTCAGAGCAAGAGCAGGTCCGCAGACTACACAGTTATTATTTATCAGTACCCCAAGCAGAGTAGTACTACACACATCCTTAATGTTAAATCTTGTTTCCTTTCACAGATCTATTGGTTTAAAGATGGAAAGCAGATCTCTCCAAAGAATGATCACTACATCATTCAAAGAGATCTTGACGGGACGTGCTCTCTCCACACCGCGGCCTCCACCCTAGACGATGATGGGAACTACACAATTATGGCGGCAAACCCTCAGGTGAAGAGGGGTATATATAGGTCTTGCTTCATTTCTGTGTACAGCTGACCCTTGAACAACATAGGTTTGTACACACATGTCCACTTATATGTGGGTTTTTTCAGTAAATACTGTAAATGTATTTTCTTTATGATTTTCTTAATAACATTTTATTTTCTCTAGCTTACTATTTTGTAAGAATACAGTATATAATACAGATAACATACAAAATATATGTTAACTGTCTATGTTATCAGTAAGGCTTCCAGTGAACCAGTGGCTATTAGTTTTGGGGAGACAAAAGTTATATGCAGATTTTCGACTGCGGGGGTCAGCATCCCTAACCACCACATTGTTCAGGGGTCAGCTGTCCAGTGCTTACAGGCATTTATTTGAACAGAGGAACTGTTTAATTAAAAGGTACAATCATACCTCTTTGACGCAAAACTATTTTTCCAATTTCTACACCATCTCAGTTTGTGGGGATAGAAAAATTCTTATGAGTATTTACTCATTCCACCAGGGGTTTTTCTAGATGAATAATTCTGGTGCAGATGTGCATTCTTTCCACAAGTACTATTGAGGGCCTAATGTGTACACCTATGACAGGTGATGGGCTTGCAGTGGTGGGAAAGACAAAGTCCCAACACAGGAAATAAGCCAGTATACAAAATAAGTAAAAAAATAAATATCATTTCAGAAAGGATTAAGTCTATGAAGTAAAAAAAAGGAGGAAAGGATGAGATGAGTTGTATGTGCTATAGTAGAAAACAAAAAAGTATTTAAAAGCAATATACACACACTTAAATCAATGGAATTTAAATAATATAAGTGTAAATCATAATTCTGATAGTGCCCATATACAAGAGTCCCTCTAATCTGTAGGTTCACTTTCCATGGTTTTAGTTACCAGTGGTCAACTGCAGTCCAAAAATATTAAATGGAAAATTTCAGAAATAATTCATAAGTTTTAAATTTCATGCCATTCGGAACAGCACAATGAAATCTTGTGCGGTCCTGCCCAGGACATAAATCATCCCTTTGTCCGGCACAATAAGGTATTTAGAGAGAGAGAAAGAGATCACATTCATATAACTTGTATTATAGTGTATTGTTGTAATTGTTCTATTTTATTATTAGTTGTCACTAATTGCTTACTGTGCCTAATTTATAAATTAAGCATTACCATAGGTGTGCATGTAGAGGAAAAGCAGTATACATAGCGTTCGGTATTAACCTCGGTTTCTGGCATCCCCTGGAGGTCTTGGAAGGGATCCCCTGTAGATAAGGGGGAGGGACTACTATAGCATTCAGGATTTTTTATTTGTTTCCACTCAAATGTTTTTTCTTGTTTTTGCCCTTAGATTTAGGATTTTAAAAAAATCAATTGACTACTTAGAATTTAATAGGCAGCTACCGGGGTATCATGTTACCATTCCAAAATTGCAAATTCTTTTTTATTGAATATGTTATATATTTTAGGCACTATGCCAGGTAGGGGACACAAAAATGGGTAAGAAGTGACTTTGTACCTTACGAATTCATTGTGTGATAGGATAATTTTACAAAGTCTGCAGAAGTCATGTAAATAACATGCTTTTTTTTTAAAAAAAAAAAGGGAAGCTAAAATTAAGTTTTATTATGTAACTGATGAAGGTTGTCCTGGACTTTTTTTTTTACATATATTTTTATTGATTTCAGAGAGAAGAAGGGAGAGGGAGAGAGAGTGTTGAAACATCAATGATGAGAGAGTTGTCATTGATCAGCTGCCTCCTGCACACCCCCTGCTGGGGATCGAACTACAATCTCCTGGATCCTGGGTCAATGCTCAGCTGCTGAGCCACGCCCAGCTGGGTGTCCTGGACATTTTCTAAAATCTGTGATCTATTTATATCATTCCATATTTCTTTTGAAGGAAATATGAAGTGTTAGAAAATGACACAAATAATTTTAGCAAAGTTTACAAATTTTTAAGCTTATTCAGTGTTCCTCCTACCTGATATACATTTCTTCAGTAATATTAAGATTAGAATGAACCTCAAATACAGCGGTGCCTCAGTTTTCAAACATCTCCGTTGACCAACATTTCTCGGAAGTTGAACATGCCAAGCGGCTTCCGCTGAGGGCAAGATCCTGAGGCCCAGCTATCACCTGCTGATCCCTCGGTTTTCAAATGTTTCAGAACTCAAATGGTCTTTTGGAATGGATCACATTTGAAAACGGAGGCACCACTGTAATCCACCAAAAATTAGGTTGTGACAGAACACAGCAAACTCTTCGGTGTCAGTGGGTGGTTTCCACATTAGTGCACTTTCTTGAAGTTCTAATGTTTTAATCAATGGATATATGACCATCACTTTGCAAAATAGTCAAAATCACCACCTTTACTTAAAAAGTTACATGTTAATGTTTATTTGTGTTCACATTTGGTGTATCTGAGGGAACAAAAGTGGAGCCTGCTTTTTTTTCTTACTGTATTTTCAGTATACTTTCTTGACTTACTAACAAATTTCAATTTTCTGTTCTCTGCCTATTTAAAAGTGGAGAATTTCACAAAATCTAAAATTTTTCTTCCTGTTGGGTTCTTTATTCCTCTTTCCCCTAGAAAGGCTGGGATATATTATGGAGACAGAATTAACTGTGTTCCTTAAACACAACAGTACTGGGATCCTGCTGTTGATTTTTAGGCATTTTTCCCTGGCAAATGTTTTAAGCTGTTTTTGGAGTAAGCAATTTTATAGAACAAAAGAGCAAAGATGTAAAACTGTGATTACGAGTCTGCTTCTAGTCCTCTTAAAATTATACTGATGAATTTTTACATGTAGAAAAGTTGTGAAGGGGAAGGTCTCACTCACTGTGCAGGGCCAGTGACAGTGTGCAGAGTTGAAGGGAGCAGCCTGGACTCAAGGGTTAGTGGTCTCTGAGCGCTTAAACTATTTACAAACTGTGATGGGTCACTAGATAAAAGAGGGCTGCTGGAGATCCCTGTTGGAAACACAGAAATGGAGGAAGGGATTGAAATCAAGAGACAGACAGTCTAGAACTGCAGAACAGTACTGATGGTACTGACGGTGTAGTGCAGAATTCAGAGCAACAAGGACCTGAGCAACAAGCAGACCAGAGTTAGATTTCTAGCCCTGCCACTCCTGATCTGTGTGACCTTTAGCAAGTCACTTAACCTCTCTGTTCCTGTTCATCTATGAAATGATAATAATATGGGCTTCAATAATACATGTAAAACACTCAGTTTACCTGGCACATTACTGTGCTTTCAATAAATGCTAGTTATTGTCATTATTTTAATTCAAAGACACCCAATAACCTGTCTTAGAGCAGCAGCCCAAAGAGCTGGCAGAAGCCTGAGGAGACAGGATGTAAAGGGTTAGTTATGTGTCTAGGTGTCCCGCTCCCACAGTACTGTGAGATAGTAAGCAAATCAGTTTGGGATGGGATTTCTACCCAAAATGCTGCTGGTGTGTGGTCTGCTGACCTCCTGGCTTTTCCTTTTTACCACCCCCATGGGAAAGGAGCGAGGCAGCAGACGGGGCTGTGCCGCAGCTGCGGGCCTGGGTGGAGGGAGCTGAGACTACGGCACCAGCACCGCTGACAGCTGCTCTCTGCTCCCAGCGCCCTCAGGGCCGGGAGCCCAAGGAGAGGCCACTGCCCTCCTGGCCACACGGAGCTCCGCGGTGTGCCAGGCCCGGGAGGAGCCCACGGTTAACCCTCGCTGGTCCTCCGACTCTGCTTCCCTTTGAAGAGAAGGCAGAGAAAGAAGTGGACCCGTGTACATGAGGTAGCCACAGGCCCAGCCCCTCACAGAATAGCCATGAGTAAGCAAACAGCAACACGACCGCTCTGAGGGAGCACGAGTCACAGAACCCAGAGGGCAGAGCAAGCAGGTCCCCAGGGTGCCGCTGTCTCTCCCAGTTAGTGGGCCTGCCCATTATTCTAAGCAAGAGGGTGGCGCTAAAAACCTCCTTTCCTACCTAAATGACCAAAGGCAGGCATAGGAGGGAAAACTCAGGAAGAGTGTCTGAGGAAATCCTAAAAGTGGGCATTTAGGACTGAAATTGAAATTGTTGTGAGAGAATATTTATAGCACTTGGTAATAGCCAATCACTATTCCAAGTTTCTGAGCATGTTGCCTGATTGATTTCAATTTCAAAAGTAAAACTCCTTTTCCATCTTAGAGTCTTCAGTAGCAGTTATGTCCGGGTTTAGCTTCACTACCAGTTAGAAAAACAAAGCGGTATTTATACCATGACAAGTGGCAGACCGTTTTTCTACCTAACCCTTGCATAAGTTATCATTTGTTGCTTTGGGAATACTGTAATAGAAATGTTTAACAGTATCATAATCTCAACTTTATATCTCTTATTGTATACTAAAGTATTTTGCCCTTATAATTTGTGAATAAAACATGATTTAAAAGAAGCATGACATAGTAGGCACTGAAAAAAATTCAAAAGTAAAAACTGAATTTTTCAAAATATGTATTAATCCCAAAAGCATAACATGTAGTCAACAGAAAACTGAAATTGACTCCCTGCTTCCCTGATGCCCTGTGGTTATCTTAAAATTTTTTCACATTTTAAAAGTATCTGGGTTTGAAAGAGAGACAACTATGCCTATTTTTCCTGGTACACTGTAGCCTACATGTGTGAAATGACCAAGGGAGAGAGGAAAAGGCTGGAGTGGAAAAATTGGTGCAGTAGTGAAACACAGCAGAGCTTCCCTGCGCAGTGGAAAATAATTACTGAAAGCAGCCAAGAGAGAAAGGGTGCGAACCAAAGAAAGAGGAAAACACTAAAGTTCAGCAGAGTATTTTATAGACTATTTTTCCACCTGGGTCAACCTTTGGGGAATAAGAAATACATTAGGCATTGCTGACTACATCCAAATTCTACTTGGGATAGAACACACAGCCCTAAACATACACCAAACTGTGCATCACACTCGATGTGTGCCGCTCAGGCAATTCATAGGAGACCAAAGCGGCCCCATAGTTTAGTGAGATATGAGTGATTGTGCAGTGTTACACCAAACCGAATGCCAAAATGAGGATCACAAATACAATTTACTTTAGACTGTAATCCTGTCTTTAAGGCACAGCTAAATCTAAACATGAATGTTTTACTTTGTTTTGCTGTGTTGCTAAGTTACTCTGTATTGCACTTGGATTTTGGAATGGCTGTTTTGCAGTTTGATGTTTCCTCACATTGCATTATGTATACAGTGGCAAGCTTTTATGAAGATCTGTGTGCCACAAGTTACATTTCATAAGCTAGGAAATATAAATGTTATTTCCATACTATATAAATAATTGGCCTTACATGAGGCATCAAACAGTCTTTACAAGCTGGATGTTTAATACAGAATCACTTTAAGAATTCAGCTTATTACTTGTACTGTAGCTTTAAACTCTGTGGATTTGTTTGGAATAGAAAAGTAGCACACAGCTGAGTTAAATTTAAAAAGATAGTTTGTTGATTGTGTTTTGTTTTAGCATTATAAGGTTGCTTCACTCATTTCAAGGTTCGCTTTAAACATTTACTTCCATTATTACTTCATGTGTTAATAATAAAGCAGAAAGAAATGAGAAAGTTAACAGCAAATGCAGCAGCATTAATGTGCCCAGAGCCTAATTATGATGATTACTAGGGTTAATTGGCACATTAGTGTGATTACAATTACTTAATGCTAATATTGTATGATCTTCCTCATAAGTAACACGTTCAGGCTTAAAAGCCTGCACTTTCCATTGTGCACACTGGAGGCATCTTTTTGAAAGTGCTTCATTAAATTCTTGATTTTTCCCCCAAATTCAGATGTCAAAATTATACATCTTATTAGTTTGGATGTTCTTTAAATGTTCCTGGTCATTAATTGATTAGCAACAGATACAGTGGGGCAAAAATAGGTTTACAGTTCATACAGAAAATAATACAATGATTAATAAATAATAACACAAGAATAAACTGTTTCGAGTACTCACAACTGTAAACCTACTTTTGGTTAACAACTGTTAACCAATACTATATTATCAAACTAATAATTCTGCCCCCCAAAGACCATACCTTTTCCCTTGATGTTCAGAAGTGAAGCATGATGTAGGAGTAAAAAGGTGACAGATGTTTACACTCCTTTTTCTTAAATTTGGGAACTTACGGAAATATCTCTGGCAGTATTTGTGCATATGGGTCTAAGAAGTAGCAGTGAAAATCTTGAAAACATTGTAGAAATGTGTAATGTTTAAAGTAGTATGCCACTTTTTTTGAACAGAGGAGAGGAGGCGGGACTTATCCTAAGCACTGTCAAATGGTTAGAGCAGAGCAGGATATCTTTCACCTTATGCCTCAGATGCAGCCCTCGCATAAACAAACACCTTGAATATACCTGTGTGCTTGGCACCTTCAAGCACCAGCGGAAGCTAAAAAGGTTGATCTACTCTCCACATATTCTGCTTCCTGTGCTAAGATTATTTTGTTTTTTCCTCTAGAGTAAATTACCTCCTAATAAGAAAGAGAGAGGGAAGGGGAAAGAGGAAAAGAGACAGAGAGAGGGAAAGAACTCCATTACATGGAGAAAAAATTGTATTTAACAAAACAGTTCTAAGAGATGCTTCATATCCATTTGGTTTTTGTTATTATATTTATATTCAGTGCTGTAATAACTTAACATTTTGAGCATTGAGTATATACAAAATACAGTAGCAAGTATTTTACACCTGTTGACTCATTTAATCGTCATAAGAGCCCATGAGGGATTAACAACCCATAAGGGATTAACTTATGATTCTGTTTTACAGATAAGAAAACTTACTTAGGCAGTTGTTACCTACCTGAAGTCACTCAATTATAAAGGACAGAACTGATTCACAAACCCAGACTGACTCCAGAGCTAGGGAGTGTCATACGAAGGTGTCTGGGCCTCATCCCAGCATTAAGAGCACTGATGGGCAGGGGAGGCATTGGTTAAAAGAGGTATTTGAAAGAATCCAAAAAAGAGAGATAAGAACATGCAGAGATTTGGAAAGATTAGATGAAGTTCATTTTCAGATTTCAAGCTAGCCTAGGGAATCACAAGTGTTTGCCAGGAACTCGGCATAGGAGAATTTGTATGATGTGGCCTGAACTTCAGCTACAATTAATCTAAGTTAGAAATAATTCCCCTTCATAATGTCATACTTCATGTCTCCTTGGAAATTTTCAGGAAGGGCAGTGTTTGAACTGTGACCCTGACAGCAAATATTGTGAGTGCTAGAAGAATGTACATATCTGATGGTATAAAGACTACTTGGGAGTATTTCTTATGACTCCCTCTTTCTGTTTGGTAATTCCCGATTCTCCTCCTGTCCGTATTACATTCCTACATGCCTTTTCTGAGTGGTCATGGCCCTTGAGAAGTCCAGGCTCTGGGAAGATCTGGTGAGCCCCACTAGCTGGGTCCCTGCCCCTCACTGCATCCTGCTGTGGGGTTTTTCCTCCGTTCCCTCTGCCAGTGTCCTCTCCCTCATCCCAGCCCACTACTCTCAGGTGGAACTCAGAGAGCAGTTCTTCAGACCACACAGAGCACCTTGCCCCTGCTACCTGTCTAACTGGCAACTTGGAATGAAAATGGAAGTCAATGGTAAATTTCATTTTGATGATGAAGGCACCTGGGGACTGCTCTTCCACCCTGAGCCCGAATTCCCTAGTCTAATCGATAATAAACTGGCTTCTTGTTTCGCCTTCCTTGCTGCTCCCCTTTGGCCACTGTCAGAATCTATATCTGCTCATTTTCCTGGGAGATGAGAAGAGAAAGTAGAGGAGAAAATCCTCTATTTTGCTGCTCTGCTTATAACAGTGAGGAAAAAAATTAGGAGAAGGGGCTAAAACAAAAAGCCAAAGTGACAGTGGGTGATTCATTCATGTCACCTGGGTCTTGTAAATGCTGTTTTTGTCTACCCATATGACAGCTTTTATGAGATTTTCAGTTGTCAAATTTAGAGATGAAATACAGCTTTTCATTAAGTAGGCCCTTATCATATGACCACATACTGTAGGTACTTAACTGCTTCTGGTCTTTGAAATGTGTTCGCTGCACGCAGACAGGGCGCCCTGTACCCAGTCTGCTCTCCTCTCATCCCTGTGCATACTTACTTCATAATGCTCATTTTACCATGCCGCCACCTCTTTTAATGTATGGTTTTTGGAAGAGATACTACTAACATTCAATAAATATATTACTGAGAAGATCTGACAGAAAACTAAAATCATCTAGTTTGATTTCAAAATTAGCTACAACCAGTAGCTATTTGACCACAAAAATGGAATCATGACCAGACAGGATGTCCTGCTGCTGTATTTTACAACCCGGCTTCCTGTGCTAGGCAGACCTCACCAGATCTCAATTAATTCAGCGAGACTGTCATTTTAAATGCCATCCTAGATAAAACAGTAAAGCTTGTTTAACTCTGGGAAAGTACGTTTCCGAGAGGGGTTGGTGTCCTTACTAATATGACACATTGATTTGCTAATAATGTCTTATGGAGAACATGTTAGTTATTTTGCATAGCAGCTAATTCCTTTCCCCGATGTCTCCGGCAGGGCCGCGTCAGCTGTACTGGACGGCTAATGGTACAGGCTGTCAACCAAAGAGGTCGCAGTCCCCGCTCTCCCTCGGGCCTTCCTCATGTCAGGAGGTATTTGAGATGTTCCTTTCCTTAAGCATTACTATTATTTTACTGCTGTAAGTTCAACTGTCTTAGGATCACGGTGACCATAAAGGCAGCGTAGTTTGGAGACAATGTGAGTATAACTGTCAAGTGCATACAGTGCATGGCTCCTTGATTAGGCTCCTCTGCAATTCAGAAAGGGGGGGAGCAAACATTTCTTAGGGAGCGGGTGTATTCAGCCCGCTCAGATACTCCATCACTAGTGTGTCAAATAGGGCCCACTTTTACATGAAGAAATCAAACCCTGGCACCTTTAAATAGCAGGCACATTGACGAAAATATGAGTAAATGCTACACAAATATTCAAAACCAAGAGCTGTATGGATTGACCATTATAAACTATTGTCACTAGGTTTCTTAAAATCAGCTAGCTTGCTAATGTTCATTTTTCATTTTTCAGATACTTCGTTCAAAAGTTTATTTTAGACCATAACCTTATAGGTAATATTTTTCATATTTTAAATACTCAACAAATATCTGCTAACCATTGAGAATGCTTTCTATTCCTAGTAGCCCTGAGTTTATGCAAGGATGCTGATGGAATAGTGATGGGCAGGGATGGGGGAAGGATATTGCTTCTTAGTAACACATTTGCACTTAAAAAAGAGTATGTTAAGTCAGCCAGCCTGTCATCTCGGGTTCCTATTTAGATATTTTATAGACAGGGCATGTTCAAATAGTCCTGACAGTAAAATAGAGGCCACACATGCAAACACCTTTGATGGAGAGAACAAAAACTAAACTAGGCTCACAGAAGGCACCAGGAAGAACTGAGTGAGCGCCAGACAAGTGGTGTGTCTGGACCCACAGAGCCCTTTGTTCATTTGGAAGACTGTTCTGGCACCTAAGCAAGTACAAATGTAATTCTGACTTGTTTGTGGCAACATCTGCTCACAGGATCCTAGGCCTGTATCTATGGCTGTAAACACACATTTAGTAGCACATCCATTCTCTTGATTTTCTTCTGCTTTTCTTATGGTCTTCAGTATAGTTAAGCTTTCCCATGTGCCACTGTTTCCTAGAAAAGCACTTTGTTCAAAAATTAGATCTGTACTTGTATAGAGTAAACTATATTAAAAAGTTGATAATCAGCCTATTATACCAATCTTCTGTCTGTTCTACTCTTTTTCTAGTTAAGTGTTTTTAAACTTATCTTCTAATGATTACAGGCAGAATTTGCATTCAGCATCTTGCTCTTTTCTTCTTAAGTCTTCCCTGCCAGTACTTTAAACTTGTATTGCTCTTAAAGATGCCTCTGGCAACATACAAGAGAGATGCACAAAATCTGGGAGATTTCCACAATTTTATTTAAAAGTAAAAAAAAAAAAAAGTATCTTTAGGTAAGTGGATAACCGATGTAAAAGAAAACCTTAAAATGCAATTTGTTTTCCTGGTTAATATGAAAAGGAATTTTGATTAGAAAGATATTAAGTTTCTATAAAATAATAAACTTCTAATTTCCGATACATTTAAAATCACAGTGGAAAGCTACAGTAATTTCTGTTGAAAAAGACTTGGTAATAAATAAATGAGCAACAGCTGCTGCTATTTCTCATACAGCTTTACAAATATTTATTTAGGAAAAAACATTAATACAGAATACTCCATTTTCTCCCATTTCCCCTTTTATGATTTATACTAGTTTTAAGGATTAGGAGAGCAGAATTGTTTAAGATGTGCAATTAGCAGACTATTAAATTTATAATAAACTTCCAAATGAAACAAGATTTTGCTTTGCTGACTTTTTTTTACGTAAACCTTGGGGATAGAAGTCACGCAAGGGTATTATATTATTACCCCATGTATTTTTTAAAAAAAAAACAAAACAGATGACTAAGAGCGTGGAAATAACTACTGTCTGTCTATCATCCATCTTGTTCTCAGGCCTCGTTCTAGGTCAAGGGACAGTGGAGATGAAAATGAACCAATCCAGGAGCGGTTCTTCAGACCTCACTTCTTGCAGGCTCCTGGAAACCTGACTGTGCAAGAAGGAAAACTCTGCAGAATGGATTGCAAAGTAAGAGTTTGTTATTGTCTATAAATCTGTTGTGTTTGTTCTCCCCTCACTGCCATTTCTCTTTAGTTTCTTTTGGGGAAGTTTATAAAGTATACACCTTTAATATGTGTTCCAGCTTGAGAGAGGAAAACAATCAGCAAAATATACAGGATGTTTATATACTGTTTTAAATCATGCTTTTCCTTTACTTTCAAATGATTATTGACTATGTTTACTTAGAACCCTATATACCACATTCCAGAAAGTCAGTGGAAGGTTTTATCCTTTTTTTTCATTTTGTTGAAGTAAAAAATGTATTAATCAGTCACATGTCCTAATCATTAATTAGCTGAGCTTCACTCTTTATTCATAAAAATTTTATATGCATGTACTACTCTGATTTTGTTCCTCCCCTGTTTTATTTCTGAGAGAAGTGAGAGTGACAGCCTTGTTCCACCCATTTTACAGCAGGGCTTGTGAACTCAGGGAGGTCAGAGTTCATTGCATGTGTGAACTCTGAAATAGCACACATGGTGTGCGTGATAAAGCTTTCATCAATTTCTCAAAAGAGCTTAAGGCCAAAAATGTTTAAAAACCACTGCTCTGAAAAACTTTTTGATTGTTTGCCCCGTTACTTATTGATCTTAAATATGGTTAAGGTTTTTAAAAATTATTTGGGCTCCCTCTGCTGGTTTTCTTTGGGATTGCAAAGCACAAATATCGGTTTAGAGGACTTGGGCATTGTTTTTACAAAAGTAAATCTGGGCTTGTAGAAATAAAAGGATCTATTTAAATTATGACCTGATTATAATAACCTTAAATTCCTGAGATCAGGCTTTCTTTACTTATGCAACCAAGACTGGGGTTAGAAAAGGTGTAGTCGAATCAAGCATTTTCTCTTTGCCTTAAAGTGAATAGCTCTCTCCACTGGCACAGGTATGTGGTGAGTTAGGTGGGTTGAGAGTACACAGTGCTTTAGGCCTGTCCTACTAAACATACTGTGCCCTCCGCAATGCATGGTCCTGCTGGTCTGGGTTCTAACGTAGTACAGTGGGAACAAGCAGTGCCACTTTATTTCTACACTTGGGAAGGCCTAGAACCTGACCAGAAGTATCCACTGCCTCTTTCTACATTCCACTTCCAGTGACCTGACAGGTAAAGCAGTGTATGTGGAGATCTGGGGGAGAGCAGGGGGACAGATGGGAGAACATACGAGCTTGACCCTCTCACAAACCATGCTGCCCAACTACTGCTGTTTGCTTCCAAAATCTCATCCTTTTGACCAGTAACTTAAATGTACTTAATATTTTTCCTTTAAATTCTCTAGACCTTTGTGACATGTCAGGGGGGACATCCTTTAGGTAGTATAAATGAGCAGCAGGAACGGAATTTGAGTTCTCTGGCTGATTTTGGTGAGCTCAAAATCAGAAAAATTGTTTTGCAGTCCAACTGACATCTTTTTGTATGTAATTTCCCACTAGTAAATGTGGGGTGGGTAAAAGGGCCGTCCTCATTGGTGCTTTTCTCCCCATTCAAAACCAAAGGCAAAGGCACAGCTGTGAAGAGCTGACAGATGGCAGCCTTCCCTACCCTTCACAACCTGTTATTAGCAATTAAATGTGCTCTTGTCTGATCTCTGGTCAATACAACTGTCATGGTCTCAAGATTTTGTGATGCTAATTTGTTGATATGGCTTTCTGGGTAATTTCATATTGTTCTTGTTAGTTTCAAGGATTATCAAATAACAGTAATAGCCCTACTTGCTGATGGATGCATTAACTAATGTCTCCAGAGCTATGGCAACTCTGATGAGAAGCTTCACAGGGTATAAATGCCAGCTGAGTATCTGTGATGGTTGGACATTTTTTGTTAGAGCTCAGGGCCGGATGTTGACATCATCCCAGTCATCTTTATAACCCTAGGTGAGGTAAGATAAGTTTTTTTAATCCCCATTTCACTTTTCTCTAGGTTACTCTGTAACAAATATTTAAACATGAGCCCACAAGTGCTTTGGAAGCCACTGAAAGGTTTTAAGCAAAAGAGTAACCTGAGCTGATACTAAAAACCATCTTTTGTACTACCAAAGGAGGAACTTATGCTGATTTCTTAGCTACTGATTTCATTGTTTTAATATTAGAGAAGTTTATATGCATTTTCTTTCTGGTTTAGGTCAGTGGGTTACCAACCCCCGATCTAAGCTGGCAACTAGATGGAAAGCCAATCCGCCCTGACAGTGCTCACAAGATGCTCGTGCGTGAGAACGGGGTGCACTCTCTGATTATAGAGCCAGTCACATCACGAGATGCCGGCATCTACACGTGTATAGCCACTAACCGAGCAGGACAGAACTCATTCAGCCTGGAGCTTGTGGTTGCAGGTAGGCTCAGCTGTGAATCCTCTCTCTCCAAGAACAGCCATCAGATTTAGAAATATGAACTAATCTTACACCAGTAACCAATACGGAAAATAAATCAAACTGCTGAAAAAATAGATCGTATCATCAAAATAGCCAATTAGGGCATGTTCTAAAGCTTAGCAAATCAGAAACATTCATTTTTCTTCAGTATTTACCTTTTCTTTCTCACTAGCTTGGCTGAGAGAGAGAAGGATTTTGTTTTTACCGGGTCATCCTACTTGTGTGGGGGGGGGCCCTTGGTGTTACATACAGAGAGGGCAATAAATAGCAGCAAGGACTCCAAAAACCAAACTTGGTGTATAAGAATTTGCTTAGGCATAAAGTTCTACAGATATACCTACCTTTTAAAGTAATGTAATATACACTGATTTCAAATCCAAAATTTAAAACCTTTCATTACCCCCAATGTCATAGTCAACTTAAACTAGGGTTTGCTTTTTAACTGATTATACTGTCAGGTAAACTTTGTAAAAATATTGTTATGTTAAGTCATACCCTTAGATAAGGACAGTCTATTTATGGAAAGGTTTATAACATCCTTAGGAGTTGAACATAAGTAAAAAAGATTCTGATATCTGTTCTCTTAAAAAAAGAAAATGTTTTTTCTCATCCTACCTCTACTAGCAAAGCGCCTCATATACAGTGTCTCATTTAGTCCTCACAACAGCCCTATAAGATAATTAGAGCAAATTAATTTTCATCCTGTTAGGGATGTGGAAATTAGATTGACTCGCCCAGGGTCCCATTAGTCAGCTGAGGGCCAGTCTCCCAAGGCCTGTTGACTCCTAGTGCTCTTCCAAACACTGAGAGCCACTGAGCTCTTTCAGGAAGCAGAGTAGCAGTGAATATGTGGACTGTGGTGCTACGTGTTAGCCACGCTTTAGTTCTGTGGACAGTGTTCATTACTACTACACACTAGGATTGATTTCACTCATTCCTCTATCCCTCATCAGACTAAAACCATTTGGTTTTCTCCTGTTTAATGTGCCATCTGTCCTCAGAACTGACCCTTGAGGTCCGAGAGACATCTCTGTTAGAGGATGGCAGTGCATGGTAATTGGAAGCAAAGTCTTTGTCATCAGATCTCGCTTCCAATCCCAGCTCTCGTTTACTAGCTGTGTCCTTTGGCAAATAAATAACATCGCTGCAATTTCATTTCCCCATATGAAAAATGGGGAACATCATAATGCCTCACCTGTTTTATAAGGATTACATCTGTGAGGCTCTGCATCACTGGTACCCTGCATAATGCTCCCCAGTGGTAACTGCTGTTCTTCCTGGTGAGTTGCTATGACATTGAGACACTTTTTATACACTTTATACTTCAAAACTGGAACCCAGAGGGAATACTAAGTAGGGTCTGTTCCCACATCCCCCAAAATAGACTAGGTCAAGTAACCATGTAAAGCCCAATAAAACACAACTCTGCGTAATTCAGTCTTAGATAGTCGTGGGTATTTGAAATGTTCAGGTAGAGTATCTGTCCCTTCACCTGTCTCCCCCTTGGCTGCTTTGTTTTGATATATTTGTCACTCCTGAGGACAGGAAATGGTAGAGAAAGACATGCATCCTCAAATTCATTATTGGTAGCTCAGAAGAAAATAACTAAACCTTAGTTTTTCTCTGAAGTTGTTTCCACCTCAGATCCAAGAAAACAATTTCCCCATGGATGGTGACATTAGAGTGTTATTAACAGTCAGTTCTGGTTTTTTCAGACTAATGAAGTTATCCTTTTATATGGCTTCCTTCCTTCAAGGTGATAAAGTTGTCCTTTTATAGCCCTTAGAAGAATACAAATTGGAATCTATAATTTATAGGTAATGATTTAAAGCTGCCATGTTTAGATAAAGCTGCCTCTCCTTTATTTTTCTCTGTTTAAATCCTATGGTACTTCTCACTTAAGCCAGGACTTACAAAGTTTCAGAATCTTCATAGCAAACATTTCAGATAGCAGGGAGAGGGTTCCAAGTGGATCTGATTCCTAGAAACACATGTCCCCCTCAGCACCACTAGGTGGCAGTGGTTGGAAGGGCTGTGCCTGCATATTCACAGAATTAGCACCGCAGCCGGCCCAGATGCCAGCAGTGACAGAAGTCTCGGGCAGTCTGTCAGACAGGCATTCTGTGGAGCAGATGGCCGACGGACTGTGTGGGCCTGTCAGACTTGAATTAACGGAGGAAACAAATGAGTGGAATGAAGCATAGTCACCTTTCTTGGTGAAATAATAATTTGGAGAAAGGACTAGCATACATGACAAATAGTATCATACACTAAACGGTCTGTTTAAGCAATATTCCAAAAAGCTTTTGAATTCTTTGTAGTGCTCCTTTCATCTATCACTGACAGATCATTCATGTCGTGTTTTCTTAGCTAAAGAAGCACACAAACCCCCTGTGTTTCTCGAGAAGCTGCAAAACACTGGCGTTGCTGATGGGTACCCAGTGCGACTGGAATGCCGTGTTTCCGGAGTGCCACCACCTCAGATATTTTGGAAGAAAGAAAATGAATCACTCACTCACAGCACTGACCGAGTGAGGTGAGAATACAGTGACTTGGCCTAATCTTAATGATACGTGAAAACACAGTTTACAGAGCATGAAAATCTGTGTAAGAGTCATGCTACTGATGATATCAAAGGCAAAGATCACTCTCTACCCTAATCTGTGATTAAGCCTGTAGAAGAGAAGTGATGAACACATTCTAACTTAATCTTGTGATTTTCTTGTGTGTGTTTATATTTAAAAGAAAAGACGAAATCTTTTGCTGCAATGGTGATAAGAGAAGCTATTCAGTGGTTTGGTAAAGGCAAAGCCTTAACTAGAAATTAAGTGCACAGATTTATTCAACCTCTTGGCGTCTGCCCTTCTCTCCCATTAACTTTAATGGGGCCAGCAGCCTCTCCAGAATGAGGACGACCCTATTATCGCCTGCCTGCACTATTCTGTTTCTAATGATCTAATTAAAAATGATGCTTCATGTCCAAAGCCACTTCTTAAAAATTTAGAACCCTAATGGCCTTATCCTTTCCTCCAGCATGCACCAGGATAATCATGGCTACATCTGCCTGCTCATTCAGGGAGCCACAAAAGAAGACGCCGGGTGGTACACAGTGTCAGCCAAGAATGAAGCGGGGATTGTATCCTGCACTGCCAGGCTGGACGTTTATAGTGAGTGCCACTCCATCTTATTGCATTTATTCATTACATTAGGAAAATCAGACGTCTGGACAGCAAACCACATTACGGCTATTTAATCTTATAAACTTGAGTGGGGTTTTTTCTGCCAAAAATTTCATATTGCTCTTTCTCTTTCTATTTATAGTTTCTCAACATTAATAGTGAACTACACCAGGAGAACAAATACCCAAGTATCATGCAGGAACTTTGCATTATTAGCAAAATATGCATGTTGATTTCTCTTATGTTGGCTAGTCAGTTGTGGCTTCCTTACCTAAGCATCCATAGGCATTAACAGTAGGCAAAAGCATAACCATGTTTTTTTCACATTATTCTTGTTACTGTGTTTTGCAAATGACTGCCTTTATATTATAATCCTATCACAGTGTCTTACTGCACTCTAAATGTGTGTACCATTGATCCTGGAATGCATACTTCTGTGGCTTAGTGCTTTTCTCATTAATATATCTTAAGCAGCTGAACAATAGGTTTGTGATTGTTTTTGTATTTGTGTACATGCATCCTAATTTAAAGAAAATCATTTTGAATTTACAAACTAGTACAACATTATGTGATCTATTGACATAGAGAAAACCACCAGAAAAAATTAAGAACATGTCTCTTCTTGAATAAAAAATAACTTTGTGACATTTTTCAGAAACTGAGTGACCTCAACCTTCCCTACTGCCCAGCTCCTTTCTATTGATTAGTGTTAAAAGATCCATCCAGGATACAAAACTACTCTAAATATTGTGGCATTTATACATTATGAACTCTGAAAATTAAAAAAGAGGAGGGAGATGAATTAGGAAACCTGGAGACTGTTTCAAAGAATTCCCTGTGCAATAGCAAATATTTACTGTCAAATGAACTACACTTTGTCTTTATTATCTAGCTGTTCTAGACCCAATAATCTGTATAGACAGTAAATCTGAAACATGAGTAAAATGTGAAACTGTACTTAAATTTTAGAATTTCCACCATGGATGTGTTCAGTCTTTCATAAAGAACAAGTGCCTGGTGTATATCAAAGACATTATGTGTGTGAAACATCTGAGGGCTTCCCAGCAATCTTGGTTAAAATTTTTTTTTTTTTTTTTTTTAA